ATTGTATACCGTTTTGATATGATCATCAATAGCACCTAGAGTGCCAACGAAAAAGTTAAAATAAAAATGTTCAACTAAAAATAATCTTCCAACATGTTGCCCGATTATTTTCACTTTGTTGCTGTTGAATACTTATTTTCACAAAATACATGATGTATATCTATTTTAACCAGAGCATATACTAAGCATAGATATATATCCTGGATATTTTGTCAGTATCCGATATTCATTGGAGCCAGACTTTGAAATAGAGTAAAAACAATAGAAGTTATTGTTATAGTGATTGTAGTAATGTAAATGGTCTTATACTTAGACCTATAACAATCACTTCTATTGTTTTCACTCCATTATAATGTCTGGCTGCGATAAATATCGGATACTCACAAAATATCCCGGATATATATCTATGCTCAGTATATGCTCTGATTTTAACAAATTTTTACAGGTTACGAATATTTCAAATTTCTCTGGTCCGATTCTAAATCTTCTCCGGTTTTCAAATTAGTCTTAGGAAATGAAGCTCCGGAACTTTTTAATGCTATCGAATTTGGTAAGTCAAAGACAATCATCATACATTTCATAATATTCGCAACGCTTTTTCTCTTTCTCCGAGTTATTTTTGATGAAATTCAATTCCTTTGAAATATCATTACAGCTTAATGTATGTATATGATAATGGGATATATCTTAAATTTGCATGCCTTTCTTCTACAATATCATTTCCAGGGAAGACAGATGTAGTTACACGTCTAATTGAAAATAGTTCACTCGTAAATGCTGAGAATCCGGATGGACTTACACCGCTTTTATTTGCTGCATCTAAGAGTAATTTCAAATTGATAAATTTAAAAATGTGGTGGCTTTATAAGAATTTTTCAAACTTTGCAGATAAAACGGAGATAGTCAAAGTTCTTGTCGATCATGGAGCTGATGTGAATTCTAGAGATTACAGTAATTCTACACCACTCCATGAGGCTGTTCAATATGGTATTTGTCTATATATTCGGAAACCGAAAATATCAAGCGTGATCGACAAAGTAGTTAAGTCAACTGTTTCTCTGTTTGATATTTCAGGCACACTCGAAATGATTGAGTTTTTAATCAGTCGTGGTGCAAAGGTGAATGTCGAAGATTCTATTCAATGGACGCCACTCCATAAAGTTGCCCGATTTGGTAATTATTGATTATATGACCTATATTAGAGTGGATCGATTTTGACATTTTTGCGAGAGTTAAAAATCGTACCCCCATCACCTCTATAGGATGGTCATAGAAACATGACTAGACAACGGTTTTGAAAAAGAAATGCTTTTCAATGCGTTTCCCTTTTCCGCCAGACCCAGGAATTTTTCAAAAAAAAATCATTTTTCGATACACTTGTCATATAAAAATCACAAAAAACCAAAATTTTATATGGGAAATGTGTTTCACTTTGATTCAAATTACTTCAAACTTTCAGAATGTTATTTTTTGGTGAAAAAATCAATCTGTGCAACGTTTCACGTATTTTTGTATGAAAAGTGTTTCAAAAATAATTTTATCTCAAAATGAACGTTAGATTCGGTTTTCTCGTGCCAGCTAATTTTAAAATTGGCGCGCTGTTTAGTTTCGATTTGAGTCATTAAATTACATTGACGTCCCCTTTGAAATTGGTGGCGCCACCGTCAGCTCAATAAGACTTGAAGTCTTCACATCCTGTCATTACACCCAGGGAACCAATTTTTGTGAATTTTCAAAGTGCTTGAAAATGTTCAAAATTCGATTTTTGAAAAATTCCTGCGTCAGGCGCAAAAGGGAAACGCATTTCTTTTTCAAAACCGCTGTCATAGTAGTATATCCATGACCATCCTACAGAAGTTGTGGGGGTACAATTTTTGATTCTCGCAAAAATTTCAAAATCGAACCACTCTACTATATATAGGTTTTGGACACGAAAATAGCATGGTAGGATCACTAATTATTTATTTGCAAAACATTTTAGGCACATATGAAATGTTTCGTTATTTAGTTGAACATGGAGCAAATATAAAGTCTACAACGTCCCAAAACTCTCGAACTTTGTTTTTGGCTGTTCAGAATGGTAATTTTCAATCGATTAATTTATAAATCGTAAGATGAACTTTTCCGCACTGTGATAAACAACATGCATTTATTACAAATCTTTTACTCAAAGAATTCACGAGAAAACTGAATCTGACATTAGTTTTACGATACAAATAATTTTCGAAGCACTTTTCATACAAAAACTACTAAAAATGGGATTTTTTGTATCGCCTATATGATATCGTAATCATGTGAAAATTTGCAAAGGTTATTTTTTTCACAAAAAGTTAACATTCTGAAAGTTTGAAGAAATTTCAATGCATATTAAGGGTACTTCCCATACAACATTTCGTTTTTGAGCGAAAATTTCAAAATTTCGTTCGGGAGGTACCCCTAATATGCGTTGAAATGTCTTCAAACTCTCGGAATGGAATTTTTGTGTGATGAAAATAACCTGTGCAAAGTTTCAGCTCATTACGATATCATACATTACATATTCCATACATAAATTCAATTTTTCGTACGAAAAGTGTGTCGAAAGTTATTTTTATCGCAAATCTAACGTCATATTCGGTTTTCTCGTACCCGTGTTTAAGTACACATTAAATATCACTTTTGGAAGAAACATTTAATTTTTCCTATGGATGGTCATAGGCATCACACCAGACATGACACTTCACTCTATCAACCAAAGTCGCTCAAAATGTAATGGTTTCTATTCCTTGGCACCCCCAATCATCCTGCGAAGCCAGATTTTGAATTACATTTTTGTTTGAAAGTTAACGCATATACATTCGGACATCGATAAACCGCTAGATTCGTGTTCCCTGGCTCCTAAAACACCCAGAAAACATGTTTTTTGAGGGTGTTAATTTTTCGACCGATTCCAATACTTTACCTTACACACTAGGTGTGTGCGGAAAAGTAATGAAATGTCTTACATCCGTGAGATGAACTTTTCCGCACTGTAATCCACAACATGCATTTATTACATATCTTTTACTTAAATTTGAACTCACGTAAAAACTCAATCTGACATTCCACAAACAATATTCAATCTGACATTAGTTTTGCGATAGAAATAATTTTTGACACACTTTTTATACAAAAATTACTTAAAATGGGAATTTTAGTATGGAATCAATGCTTGTATGATATCGTTACTTTGCACAGGGTATTTTACTTTTTCGCACACACCTAGTGTGTAAGGTAAAGTATTGGAATCGGTCGAAAAATTAACACTCTCAAAAAACATGTTTTCTGGGTGTCTTAGGAGCCAGGGAACACGAATCTAGCGTTTTTTCGATGTCCGAATGTATGTGCGTACCCTGTACGCAAAAATTTGTTAACACGATAAGTTTCAAACAAGAAAAGTAATTCAAAATCTGACTTCACAGGATGATTGGGGGTGCCGAGGAATAGAAACCATTAAATTTTGAGCGACTTTGGTTGACAGAGTGCCGTGTCAAGTCTGGTGTGATGCAACGTGTGTAATGCGCTCAATAAGCGTAATGCTTTGATTGCCGAACTTCGTACAGACAGCGCCATCTATATATAGAATGAGATATTATTTCACAAGTTTGAGAATGAGCGCAAATGTCATTCCAAAATTGTTGAAAAATAATTTAATAAATTGTTTCATTTTTTGTTTTGAAAATGAAGTTAGCACAATTAGCATTAGATAATTTCTATTTAAAAAAAAAATAATATGCGTTTTAATTTAACTTAAAAAGCCTCGGGCGTAGAGTGTGTAGATCTTGTGGAAATGATATTGTTAAAATCTCCATACGTAAACTCATAAGTGTGAGTGTGACATTTGACAGATAGATACAAAACGTAATGTTATTGTTCTCTTACATACCTGTCATAACTCAGCCATAGACTAGTGGTTAGCGTGCCAGGTTTGTGAGCGTGAGGACACGAGTTCGATTCTCGGTCAAATTTGGTCCGGTATTTTTCCACCGTGATTCGCTCAGAAATTATCAGTGGTTTTATGCGGAATAGATTTGGCCGGGTTTCGGGCTAGTGGAGTGCTTCGGAGGGCACTTGAAGCCGTCGGTCCCGTGTGTGTGCACAACGAATAATGGGTTCAGCATAGACACATGTAAGATGGAGTGCCTTTACGTTAGGTTGGTGTCTTGGATACGTCAAATATCCAATACGTCAACCGTAAAAAGGTAGTGCGATATCTCTGGTGAATATACCGGTAAACCAGCGATATGTGCATTCCTCCATTGAAATAAGAAGAGCCCAACGCCATCTAGACAATTGACTTGAGAAGAAAGCCCTGGTCACTGGCCCTGTACGGAGGCTAGTTACATGGCTGCTATAAAGTGGGCCACACCGTGGGAAGCATTCTCCAAGCAATCGAGTGACAGCACAAGTCGGGTCGTCATGCAATAAGTTACGAAACTTGAGCATCGAAGTGAATAACTCCCCGTTTAATCCAATAATCCAATAGTCCAATACCTGTCATACACTCACTATTCCGTTCATTTATTTTATTTATATTCTTAATCTCGCAATCACATCGCAAAATTGCGTGAAAATGGCAAATACTATTAACAATTTAATTGATCTTGACACCACTGTATAAAATTTCCTGATGCAAATGGAGACTTTACTTTTATATTAAACTTTATTCTGTTTAGTTCGCCAAAAGATAAAGTGAGGGCGTTAGTGTGACAGATTTCATATAAAAAAGCTACTGTATTAGAGATCCTTGTGATGCCCATGGGCATCCATAGGAAAAATTCAATTTTTCTTCCAAAAGTGATATTTATTGTTTTCTTAAACACTCAACAATATGTATTGTTTCTATCATCCTGTGAAGTCAGATTTTGAATTACTTTTCTTGTTTGAAAGTTATCGTGTTAACAAATTTTTGCGTACAGGGTACAGCGTACAGCGTACAGCGTACAGGGTACAGCGTACCACGCACATACATTCGGACATCGAAAAAACGCTAGATTCGTGTTCCCTGGCCCCAAAAACACCCAGAAAACACATTTTTGATGGGTGTTAATTTTTCAACCGATTCCAATACTTTACCTTACACACTAGGCACACACGAAAAGTAAAAGTTTGTTTCTAAAGAACTTCGTACATTTTACAGGTAAGATGCAGATTCTTAAATATCTTGTCGAACATGGAGCCGATGTGAATTCTAGAGACACAGATAATCGCACACCACTTCATTGGGCCTATAAAGGTAATTCTCTATAGTATAGAGTCTATACGTTTGGAAACAGAAAATAGAAAGCGTGAATGGTATGATCGCCAAAGTAGTTAGGCTGAATGTTTCTTGCCTAATATTTCAGGTACACTCGAAATGATTGAGTTCTTAATCACTCATGGTGCAAAGGTAAATGCTGAAGATAATCGTAAAATGACGCCACTCCATAACGTTGCTGGATATGGTAATTATTAATTGAGAGCCTGAAACCCAAAACAAGTTATAAAAATTCTTTTCGGAAAAAAAGCAAAAGAATGTATTTTTTAAATGAAAAAGGCGATAGAAAAAACTGAGAGTTAAAAGAGCATATACAGAACTGAGAATTAAAACAGAATATAAATTCAGTTAGCGACAAAACAAACAAGCGATATGCTATATTTTGACTCTCAGTTTTTATTCGTCTCATGTTTTTGATGAAAGCAAATATAATATTTATCGGTTCCAAATAAAAAGATAAAGAGGCTTACGTACGCAAGCTGACTTTTCCGCATGGAACCGAAATTTTGGGAATAAACTGAAATCATGGTCTTTGTATGGTTGCAGTAACTTAAATTACCGTGAAAACTTGTGAATATTATTTTCTTATCAAAATAAATAATCACACCAAGTTTAAAGAAATTTCAATCCAAAAATAGCCTGTTGAATGAAACTTTTTGTGGATTTTTGTATGAAAAGTGTGTGAAAAATTGATTGCATCTTAAAACTAACATCAGATTCGGGTTTCTCGTGCCAAAAAACCCCCCACTGGTTGTGTATTCATTCAACGTTCAAATTGAAAGAATATCATTTTAAGGCATTTTTCTCATAAGTGCCTCTTCAGAGTCTAAGTTTTACACCGATCAATCAATGTCGTTGAAAATTTGACCAGATCTATTCCTCGTAGTGCCCAATCACTTCGTGAAGTCACATTTTGAATGTCATGTCCGAGCACGAAACTATCGTGTCACCAAAATGGTTGAGAAATTATCAAAAAATGTATGGATGTGGGATGTGGGTACTCCATTCGGACCAAAAAAAATTACACCGGTCAACAGATATTGCTCAAAAACTAATCACCACGTCTCCTAGTAGTCCCAAATCATCCTGCAAAGTCAGAATTTGAATTGAGTTTTTGGAAGAAGATTTATCAAGTTAACAAATTTTGGCAACACGCCACAGGACACAGGACACAGGGCACATCACACACAGCGACGCACATTAATATGCCCCAAAATCATCTCCAATCGTGTTTTCTACATTAAATATGCATAGAAAACATGTTTTGGGATGACTTTAATTTTTTGGCCTAATACAAAACTTTCCCTACACTAGGTGTGCGGAAAAGTAATATACATTTTCATTGCTAAAATGAGGCGAATAAAAACTGAGAGTTAAAATACAATATACAGAATTGAGAGTAAAAACAGCAAATCGATATATGCTACTTTTGCTCTCAGTATTCTACATATGTGTTGTTTTAACTCTCAGTTCTCTATATTCTCGTTTTGTGCTCAATAATTTCTTATGCTCTTTTTCCGAAAAGAATTTTCATAATTTGTTTTGGGTTTCAGGCTCCCAATTATAGTTTTACCCTATTTTTTTTTTTTTTTGAAACTGAAAATAACATGGTCGATCAGCTAACTATTTATTTGCCAAACATTTCAGGCACATATGAAATGTTTAATTATTTAGTTGAACATGGAGCAAATATAAATGCTACGACTGCTGAATATGATACAACTTTATCTTTGGCTGCTCGTAATGGTAATTTTCAATC